TTATACAAACAGGGACAGTATTTCGGTTTAAATCAAATCATAATAAGAGAGAGGGCAATGTCGAAAGTCAAGACTTGAAGAAGGAGACTTGAAGATCGACGCGGGTGCGAAGATCCCGAGATGTGGCGTCCGAATGCGGTCCACCTTCTGGCCGCATTCCAACAAGCTTCCATTAAAGATTCCGCATCCAGTGTGAATGTATATTTAGAATATTAAAGATAATCAGGGATCAGATGTGTATTTATCTATTATCAATAGTATGGTATTTATTGGACAAGAATTATGGAAAAAAAATGATATAAATAAATAAAAAGAAATTGGCTGATGTATTTTATAGATCGGTCCTAGTACATGTCCGAGGCTTCCCTTATATACATTGTTGGCTCTTCTATATAGACCCAAATGATTCCTCAAAGTTATGAGAGTTTAGAACAACATTTCTTTTTCCCTGCTTTCTAGAACGGAGGAGGGTTCAAGTCCAACCCGTCAACTGTCAACCGGAATTCATCCCTAGAATAGCTTCCCGCAACATCCATATCAAGCCGACCTCGCTCACAATCCTCCAAGTCGATCTCGGAAATCACAAGCCCATTTTCGATGCTGGAGCCATCAGCTGCATCGTCAGTGGAGACTTCCCAAATAGGCTCAGCCACGACTTCACCCAAGGGTCCGACAATGCAGGAGCCACCACGCGAGATATAGCGGTCTGGAGATTCTAAAAGATCGTGAGTCATTTGAACACTTCGATGAATAATCCATCACGTACCTTCAGTAGCTTTAGCCTGATCAGTGATCCAGGATGGTAGCTCATTGTAGCGCACGCACTGATTGCAAGAGAGCACGAAAGTGCGGCCCTCACCACCAATAGTCCGCAGGAGAGGCAGCCAAGTGTCACGGCTGTCAGCTGTGGGTGCAAGGTAGATGTTCACATTTTGCGAGTAGAGACTTTGACGAAGCAAAGGCATGAAGCTTTCCCAGCAGATAGCGGCAGCAATAGTAAGCTTGACTCCATTGAGCTCTGTAGTGATAGCTTTCAGAGTAGAAGGAGAGCCCTGGGCCCATACAAGACGTTCTGAGCCAGTCTTTTCCAACAGGTTAGGTCAGCAGTAGTTTATAAATGCATTATATTCAATGCCAAGTCAAATCGACTACGGTTCACAACAAAAATCAATGATGATGTACTTACTGGCATGACCTTTCTTCTCTTTCCCAGAACACCCCGCAATGGATCGACATATAGTGCAGAGCAGTACATGCTCCCCCCGGCCTTTTCAATCAAACCAGTTGCAATAAAGACACCTGTCTCGCGGGACACCCGCTCGAGGAACTCTCTTGTCCCATCACCACGGTATTCTCGACCTTGAGCCACAGGGAGCTTGCGCTCCACCCAGTCGTCTCCTGCTCCAGCAGGTGTATCGCCCAGGTCAACGGCAGCACGGAAGTACTCGACAAATTGGTCCCGGCCATAGGGGGCACGCGCACCAACAGCAGTACCAAAGTCACAAGTACGAGGGTACCCGCCTAGATAAGCTTCTGGGAACAGCAGGAGATGGACACCCTTTGAAGCTGCATGCTGGGTGGTTTTCTTGAGAGCGGCGAGGGTCAACTCAAGTGTAGACAGAGTGCGGGCTTGCGCCACAGCAACGGTAATTTTCTGAGGCATTATAGTGTAGTCTTCTCTATACTAGCGAATTATTTCGAAGGCGAAGCTTGAAAGGAGTCAAAATAAGTTGTCACCCCTCTGAGCATTTAAACTACTCCATTAGGACTCTTTTCGGAGGCTAAAATGTCCGACGGAATTTGGTATGCCGATGAGCTTGCATGGCAATTTCATCATTGATTTGAACCTAGCCTTGAATCTAAATGGTCAGATATCTTTATAAACACACTCAAATGAAGCCAAAGATAAAACAACGAAGTCTTTCAGTCTTCGTCCTTCTGGTAAATCTTTAATCACGTGAATAGATTGAGCCGAAACGGAATCGGCATCGGACATTTCAGTCCGATACACTCAGTGAGCCACCAAATGCCGAGTCCGAATGGAAAGAAATAAAGTGGCACCGTCTAGAAAGAGGCAGAAAGCGCTAGCTTGTCGACGGTGTCGATCACGGAAGCAAAAGGTGGGTGTACTCGATTACAGCCTTGAATCACAGAAAAACCAACCAAAGCCAGTGTACCGGAAGCAGGCCATGTGATAATTGCACAGCAGCGAATAAGGGTAAATATATAATGGCACAAACACAAACAAAACTTCTCTGATTGCATATAGAATGCATCTCAAGTGAGCCAGTGAGCCGAAAGGCTCGTGTTAGTACTGAGTAGGTCGAGTCAACCATGCCCATTCCTAGTACCCTGCTAACTGCTTTTATAGATACACCAGAGCACTCGAAGAAAGAATTATAGACCTCGAGTCTCAAATTCCAGATGAGAGGTCAGCAAATATCTCTGCTAGCCCGAGAGCACGTACGCAGGAGTCGCATCAAAGAGCCAATGAAACGGACCACGTTTCTCAGGCTTCTTTTGCATCAAGGCCACCATACTCGAGTAGTATGCCTCAGGACGGCGCATCGTCAGATTGTATTCCTCTGAGATATTCAGGCCCCTGCCCGTCAGTAACATTACCGGGCCCCCATACAGTGGAGGGTTTGCCAGATCCTCATGGCCAATGTGGACATTCCAGCCTGTTGATTGGCATACTAGCTACTCTTACGGGCACCGATTCCTCTGGGTTCCCCCGGACACAGTCTGGAAGTCCAAATGCTCAGCATTTTTCTCAACTCACAGATCATGTATTACAAGCAAATCGTGTCCTACGGCTTTCAAATGAGGCATCTGACCGGTTGGTTCAAATATATTTGGAACGAGTCAACCCACGATATCCCTTCCTTCATCTCGCTACTTTTCTTGGTTGGTATGAATCATGGAAGGCTCATTCGCACATGGGTAGGGCGGGGCATCAGCAATCTCTATGGAAGGACTACTTTGTAACCATGGTATGCGTCAAATACTCGTTATTGCGAATTTACATTAACCTTCGACACACTTTAGGTGCATGCTGTTGCCCTACTTCTAACACCTCGAGTCTCGGTCGATGACATTGCTACTTCTCAAGTAAGTGCGTATCAATGACTATATCTACGACCAAAGGGAAGGCTAACAATTTAGTCTTTATACAACACTGCCATGCAATATCTTGCCCACGTTTTCGCACAACCTGATCCTGTTTTACATGCCCAGGCATATCTCCTTCTAACGTTGCATGCACTTCATTCGCCATCATCACAGATGATTGTCACCATTGTCTCCGCAATGATGAGGTATTGTGTCATGGCCCAACTTCACCTAGCTGAGAGCGAGCCGCAGGTACCAAATCCTGCGTTTTCCTTGGAGGTCCAAACACGCCGCCGAGTGTTTTGGTCTGCTTATGCATTGGATCGATTTATCAGTTGGATTTATCACATTCCAAACAATATCATTGATGAACATATTAGCGTGGAGGTAGGTCATTTCCCAATAACCTCACCTTAGGATCTGTATCTGGAGGGGACATTGAAGATGCTGACAAGGGTAGCTTTTTTCGAACGTGGGAGACGCAGACCTTCGCCACGAAGGATCAGAGGATAGCCGCATTCGAATAGAAACACCATCGCAGAAGACACATGTTTCGCCAGCCCTTCACTTATTCCGATGCCGACGTATACAATCGCGGATCATCAGCACCATGATGCGGTCTGATTTCAAAGAAATCGATACCTCAACGACATGGCGAGAACACATGTTGGGCGAATTGGACTCCTGGAGGTCTCAATTACGGCTATTGAGCGATGTTGCCTCCAAAAGCTACACGAGCGATCGATGGGTTGGCATGGCTTACAACTACACGATCCTCCTCTTACACCAGCCAACCAAAGAAAATGTCTGTAATGGCTTTGGGGACCGATCAGTCCCAGCCTGTGTTCAGATCGCTATGACATTTAGGACTTTCCAAAAAGACCGACAGACAGCACAACTATGGCCCGGGGTATGTACTCGAAAACCTATGTTCTTTCTCATCGACTGACCCAGTCTGGTAATTAGCTCTTGAGCCAAGTCGCCGTAGGTATCACCCTTCTATACTGCTTCTGGGCGACTCCACCTCAATATCAAACCATGGCCTACCGATCACGAGAAGTCCCAGACGCATTACGCGCCTGCTCAACCGCACTGGCCATTCTTGCTGAGCGATGGGTTCAGGCCGAACCTTTGCGCGATGTCTTCGATGTTCTAGCCAAAGAAGTTCCAATATATGGAACGGCAGAGGATGACCCGCCACCGAGGCGCATTTCGGCAGAGTCTGCTTCCTACATCCAATCCCAGATGCCTCTACTTACATCGATCGTCATGCATCGGGGTGTCTTACGCATGATACGCGAGATGACTACGGAGGATTTCCCTCGGAGTCTAGATGAGGAATTCCACCACCCACTGCCGGCATCGCATGGCCAAACTATGCTTGGGGGTTTAGGTGGTCACATGTGCTCTGAAGAGTGTCCGTTTTTCCATGAACCAACTCATCCTGGATCGATGGCTGGCATGGGTGCTCAGGCTTTTTCTCCACTTGAGAACGGGATTAGCAGTGCTTATGAGGTTGATGACGAGACACTCATGTATCCACTCCTCTTTGGTTCAGCGGAATTTTGATGTCTGTAGAGTTTGACATTCCCTTCATACAAACTTTTTATCGATTTGGCGTAAAAGTATAGTTAGATGAAACGTCTTGACAACATTGAAGTGAACACGAAGTAAGATTGGAGTATAATACAGAAGACCCAATATGCAAATTGAAAAAGAGACCGCACCCAAATTAAAAAGCTGTGGCCATCATTTCCGCCATGAGAAACGAGATAGCGTACAAAGATGGCACAAAATCCGTGGTGCCCAAAAAACCGTCCATCGCTCTTCAGGATAGTGATACAAGCGCCTGTTCATTCCCCTCGGCACGCAAGGTCGTACAAGCTGCTCTAGCGAGCATACGACTGGGTGCTACGCCGAGATCCGCGAGGCTTGGTCATTGCGTCAATGTCCAGGTTTTCGATTTTGTTCCTGATTTCCAGCCTGTGGTCCCGCATCCATTTGCCCAATGACGGGGGCTCAGGAACGCCAAAGGCCTTGCGTTGCTTTGCGAATTTCTCCTTAATCGCTGGTGTCTGCATAATCTGGTGTCGAAGGTTCCATCCGAAAGGACCGAGCTCCTTGAGGCGTGTTGGTCGATCAGACAGCAAGTAGTTGTCTAGACCCTTGGCCTTGTAGATTGATCGCAAGGCACGACGAGTGACCTTGATAAACACCGACTCGCCCAGAGCCTCACTCTCAATCTTCTTTCGGCGCACGTTGGGCTTCCAGCTTCGTCGTGTCTTGCCTGCGTTGCGTCCCTTGGAGATCTTGTTACCGAATCGGATCGAAGCGCCGCCGTAGAGACCGGAGTCGGCCTGCTTGTACCATTGGGATGGTCCGTAGGGGTAAACTGGGGCGGTTTCCGGTAGTTTCGGAACTGATTGCGTCGCCGGCGTTGTTGAGAAGGCTCGCTTCGGTGTGGCGATGGAAAGACTGCGGAAGGCCGATGCCAAAGAGAAGGGGGCAGCCATTGCAGATCTTGTGTATAGACCTGCCATTGTGCTCGACAGGTATCGGACTCTCGCAGAATGTCGAGAATGCAAAGAGCCGGAAAGTCGTTATAGACAACAGGCGGAGGAGAGGGCCAACAGGGAAGAATTTGGGGCAGCTCACCGCCCTGGGGGCAGCGTTCTCATTCGACGATCCCTTGCTCGCGAATTTCGGCCAGAAGCATATCTCACAGAGAACCATCGTGTTACCTTTCCTTTCTATCTAGTTAATTCCTTTGAAGCTTTGATTTCTTTTTACTTCCTTCTTCTCAACCCATTGACCCATCTTCCGTTAATACTTGTGGCTCTACTCGGCCACACCTCTTCCAAATATGGTCCAGATCAGTGAAGTGAAGGGTAACTCGCGCGAGAACAGGACCGCAGCGCATACACACATTCGGGGTCTAGGCTTGCGCTCTGATGGAACTCCAGAGATCAATGCAGATGGCTTTGTGGGACAGGGAGCTGCCCGTGAGGTGAGTGGATAGCAACATTGAATCCACCAGCGTATCTGGCTCGCAGTAACGATAGCTAACGATTAAACCATGGGGCAGGCCTGCGGTGTTGTGGTGGATTTGATTAAGTCAAAGAAGATGGCTGGACGAGCTGTCTTGCTTGCTGGTGGCCCTGGTACCGGAAAGACTGCTCTGGCTCTTGCTGTATCACAGGAGCTGGGAACCAAGGTTCCTTTCTGCCCGATTGTTGGCAGCGAAATCTATTCCGCAGAGGTCAAGAAGACCGAGGCATTGATGGAGAACTTCCGGAGAGCTATTGGTATGCAATGCGACATTAGGGGATGCGCAACAAGCGTGGATATCCAAGCTAACGTATGACAGGCCTTCGTGTTCGCGAAACAAAGGAAGTTTATGAGGGAGAGGTGACTGAACTTACCCCCGAGGAGGCTGAGAACCCACTGGGCGGATACGGGCGCACAATTAGCCATTTGATCATCGGATTGAAGTCCGCTAAGGGTTCTAAGAAGCTGCGCCTAGACCCCAGCATCTACGAAGCCATCCAGAAGGAGCGTGTCACAGTCGGGGACGTCATCTACATTGAAGCCAACACCGGCTCATGCAAGCGGGTTGGGCGATCCGATGCCTATGCGACCGAATTCGATCTCGAGGCTGAGGAGTATGTGCCTGTCCCCAAGGGCGAGGTTCACAAGAAGAAGGAGATTGTTCAGGATGTGACCCTTCACGACCTGGATATGGCCAACGCCCGGCCCCAGGGCGGACAAGACGTGATGAGCATGATGGGCCAGCTGATGAAGCCCAAGAAGACGGAAATCACGGACAAATTGCGCCAGGAAATCAACAAGGTTGTCAACCGGTACATTGATCAGGGTGTCGCGGAGTTGGTTCCCGGTGTTCTCTTCATCGATGAGGTACGTGGAGGACTTTATCCTGTGAATTATTAGATCGCGTCTCTAACCCCATTTCTTCTCTAGGTGCACATGCTCGACATTGAGTGCTTCACATACTTGAACCGCGCCCTCGAATCGACCATTTCCCCTATCGTCATCCTCGCCTCCAACCGTGGTCACACCGTCATCCGGGGCACCCACGAAATTAGTGCCGCACACGGTATTCCCCCTGACCTGCTTGCCCGTCTTCTTATCATTCCCACCAACCCCTACGCCCCCGAGGAGATCAAGACTATCATCCGCCTGCGTGCCAAGGTTGAAGGCCTCAATATCACAGAACCTGCCTTAAACAAGGTCTCTGAGCATGGCAGCAAGGTCAGCTTGCGGTATGCCTTGCAGCTGTTGGCCCCCGCAAGCATTCTCTCGCGCGTCAACGGTCGCCCCGGCGCAATCGAGGAGGCTGATATTGCTGAATGCGAGGACCTCTTCCTGGATGCCAAGCGCAGTGCAATTATTGCTGATCAAGACAGCAAGAATTTCCTGTCATAAATGACTATGAGGTTTGAGAAAGTTCCATGATCTTATCTTGTATACCAAAGGGGTATCTTGGATGTTTATTGAAAAGGCGAATTGTTTTGTGTGGGCCTGGTGTTACGCTAATGCTATGTATCAAATTCTATTTCTAACTTACTGCAACTTCCAAGGTTCTAGAAGATAAATGGCTGTAGACCCAAAGTGTAGATGTAGAGGTCATCGGGTGTCGCAAATGCAACCCCGGGATGAATCACGTGTGCCTCACCGTCACCCGTTCCTGTTCCAACGTTTTTTAATCCTATCAGCACCTTTGGTTATTTTAAACCATTTTCTCTTTGTGTTCCCTAATACTCCGACAAGGCCAGTCCACCTAGTTTGCAAAGCAAAGCCACCCTAACAAGATCCGACCGTACCGCCACTCAGCATTGAACAGCGTCACCCGCCCCAGATAAAGGTGGAGCCTACATCAACACATCAACCACCATTGCAAACAGCAGATCTTCACTTCCACCCAAGCTAAAACATACATCATACAATCACCATGTCAAACCCACTGGACACAGATGCCGGCTCGGAGATGTTCGCCAGCTATGAGAACGAGTTGAAGCTGGTGCAAGCCGATCTGAACCAAAAGCTGGACCAGATCGCCGAAGCAAGCGGCGAGCAACGGAAATCAGCAATCGGCATCGCAACACAAGTCCTCGAAGAAGCAACAGAATTGGTGAGTCTATCGAGCCCTCTCAATATTTTTTCATGCGCCAAAGAGAACAACCAACATCTGCGAGAACAACCAAAACTAACCCAATCACTCCTTATCTAGCTCGACCAAATGCGCATGGAGAAGCAGAACATCCCCTCAGCAGCCCGGTCAAAAGTCAACATCCGCTTCCGCAACTACTCAACCGACATCGACGAGGTCAAGCGCAAGCTCAAGTCCCTCTCAGATGACCGACAAGCACTCTTTGGCGACCGGTACACCGATGAGCCGCAGGATGAGCACCTCGAGCAAAGACAGCAGTTGCTTTCCGGTACGGACCGACTAGAGCGCAGCTCCGCGCGGTTGCAGCAGAGTCAGCGCATGGCGCTGGAGACGGAGGATATTGCTCGCGGCACCCTCGGCACCCTGTATGAGCAGAGGGAGCAGATCACGAATGCTCGGAATAACTTGCAGCAGAGTGAGGGATACGTTGATACTAGTATCAAAACTTTGAGGGGCATGGCCCGTAGGTACTGACTCCCCTTTGTCTCGTTCTGAACTTGATCTAGACGTGGTTGCTGACCTCTTATGTGTTGTTTAGGATGGCTACCAATCGGATGATCACTATTGCTATCATTACGGTTCTGGTTCTTTTGATTTTCGCTGTCATTTACAGCAAGTTCCATTAGCGCTTGAGTCTTACGCTGGCGTTTGTATACTCGACCTTATCTTTTATGCCCTTTCATTTTCTGCTCTTACGTCTACACTAGCAAGGCTATTGCCTGTCTCTCTCTGTGTCCCTCGCATCTTTGCCATTATGTATGATAGCATCCGGCAAGTCTTGATACAGCTAGACCCAAGTCTCTGCTCCAAGCAACCCCGGTCTCTAATACGACGGCTAATAGCCCAAACAAGTCCCGAGTCTTTATTATCAAGTACCAAATAGCTTCAATTGGAGGGTATCTCTTAACGCCAAATAACAAAAGAGAAGAAATATACATATCTCAACACGCTTAGTTCATAATCCTCATCGCCCCAAAAACAGCATTAACAATAACACCCACACAAACAGCAACCCCCTTCCGCCAACTCCAAACCCCCTCCTCTCTGCGCAACCACATCGCACATCCAACAGGCCAAAAGAACCCCATAACAGCCCCCCAAAGCATATCATCCATCGCTCCACGCGATCCAGCTCCAATCCCGCCCTCATCTTCCCCACCCCCACCCTCCCCACCAAGACCACCCTGCACCTGCGCCGCCGTCGACCCCTCATCCATCCAGCGGTCCTCAAGATCCCGCAGCTGGTCCCCAGTAGGCATAGTATCCGGCGTCCGGGAGACAGACTGCATAGCCAGGAACTGGGAGCGCAGAGCAGTGACCTCAGCGGCCGTGAAGCCCGCCGAGAGGAGACGGTCGAAGCCGCGGGGTGCGGGTGTGGTAGTAGTTGATTGGGACTGGGACTGTGATTGGTATTGGCGGCCAGGCTGCGCAGATGTGGATAGTAGAGGAGAGACATCTTTCACGGGAGATTTCTCTGTATTGGTTTGCTGCTTCTTCTGTTGTAGAAGGATTGTTGATGACACGCTTGCTTCGCTGGCTAAGTCTGCTTCTGAGAGTGCGATGTCGCCGATCGAACAGTGGATATAGAGGCGTGGGCGGGTATCCCGCACTGCCTGCTTGCCTTTGCCATGGTCGTCTGGGGTCTCGGGTTGGTCTGCTGCGGGGCGGGGACTCCGGCTTGGTGATGGCGGGAGCTTTAGTGAGACTGCTAAGGCGGTTGTGTCTTCGAGACCGCGGCCGGCATAGATAAGGCGCAGTCGGTGGGATGATAATGGTTTGGGGAGTTCGGCTCGGATCAGTTGTTTTAGGCCTACGCCTGTTGTGGTCTCGGGCTCTGGGACGTCTAGTTGGAGGTCGGGGATTGAGGCGGAGAAGCGGACGGTGATGAGGAGCGGGTCAGTTTCTGGTTCGCCTACTCCGTATGGAGAAAGGAAGGGTGAGGCCATGTTTCAGGTAAGAGATAATATTGTGCTTTTATATGGAATGGATTGAGACCGCTTTATACAAGCAATGACTGGTGTGTTTCAAGTTGGAGATGCGATGCTTACCCCATTCCGGGGCCTCGGACCATATCCGTCAGGTGACACATTCTAAACAACTGTAGTTGTATATATGCTATCGCTTTTCTGCAATCCTCGAAAACTAACAGGAAGGGAAAATATAGTGTACAAGGAAGCAGGGTTAAGGTAAATTTTGTGATTTTTTTGGGGTATGTCACATGTCATCATCAATGTCCTTCGGACTAATTTATACACAAAAGATATCACATGGTTGATCTTGCCAGGGTTCAAAAGAATGCTTCCGCAGACAAAAAAAAAAGAAACAAAGGTTTATCGGCTGAGCCTCTAACCT